CCGACATGATGAAACCCTGCCTCTACTAAAAATAAAAAAAATTAGCGGGGCACAGCGGCTCACGCCTGTAATCCCAGCTGCTCAGGAGCCTGAGGCAGGAGAATCCTTTGAAGCCAGGAGATGGAGGTTGCGGTGAGCCGAGGTCATGCCGTTGCACTCCAGTCTGGGCAACAAGAGTGTCTAAAAAACAAACAAAAAACAGCAGCAGAGTCGATGCTGGTCTTCCATTGGCTTCTTGGGGTGTTGGGGTGATTGATTTTCATACTCGTTTAGAGGCTTTCAGGAGTATGTGTGAGACAGCCGCTGGCTCCATCTGCCAACTGCCAGAGACTAGCAAATGCACATGGAATCTGAAACAAACAAAAACCCTGCACGTGGGAACTCATACTTTGTCAAGTAGATACCTCTCGCTCCTCCTGACCCTCCCCAAACTAGGCACCTGTGGGGGTGGGAGGTAGGAAGGTATCAGGCTTTTTCAAACTTTCCCGCCAAAGCACCATCAGGGCAGAAGAGTATTCTAAGAACAGGAAATTTCTGAGGTCTTCCCTTTTGTTCTTAGAGTACATGTTGAATTTGCATTTCACCAGACTCCATATTTTGGCTAGTGATATCGTCTACTGAGCTCCTGCCGTGTGCCAGGTGGTGTGCTACCTTTCCTTTCTTCCCCCTGGGAGGGCAGCCTTTTCCAGGAAGGCAAGGGTAGGCACTGATGAGGGAATTACCCCGGCGCAGGCAGAGCAAGTCCCAAGGCTGGGTTCGCCAAGTCCCAGCACACCTTCTGGCAGCGGAATCTATTAAGCAAAATTTTCAGATGTCTGGGTCGCGGGGCAGCTGGGGATTTTCGAAAGCACTGAAGTGTATGGTCACGTCAAGAGGCTGCCAGCCTCTCACCTGCTGTCAGGAAGAAAGGCTGCTGGTGTCCAGGGAGTGAAGAACGACTCACTTAAGCAGGAGTGTGACTAAGATGAGAGCAGATTCAAGAGTGCTACTGACAGCCAGAGTACACTGTCAGATCTCTCCCAGAAAACGATGGACGAGAAACCCACAAGGCGGGGAGTGCGGCTCCCTGCCACGGTGTGCTGGGCCAGGCCATGCTGTTGGCATGCAGATGCTCTGGGAGCATTTTCTCGTCTGCAATTAGGATGCCAGAACCCTCCCTCTTCTGCAGTTGGGATTGTATTATCGGCTCTGAGTGGTCCTATCTGTAAACATTAGGCACCTGAACGTGAATGAGCTGTCACATTGTAAAGCTACAGTGGTTCCCAATGTGGCCCCTCCGGTGGGAAAGTGCAGGTTGCAGGACACCGGAGTTAGTACCCAGGTGGAGCAGGGAACTGTCATTTTCTGGGCATCTACCACGAGCCAGACCTCATCAGCTCACTCAATCCTTACAGCTGCCTTACTATTCTACAGACAAAGAATAATAAGCACCACTTCCACTCACATGTGTCTCCATTTCCAGTTCACTCAGTCTCATCTGGGCCTAAGCTCCCACTTGGGATTTATCAACCTCTGCAGAAGGGGGGTAAGCCCTGCCTCTGCTCAGCAGCCCACCAAAGCGGTCCCCAACTTGCCGGCCAGCACAGGCCACAGGCGACACCACGACATGGTTAACACATTAACAGCACTGGAGGCTGCTGACTGTTCCAAGATGAATGGAAGCCGCCTGCAATTCTCTCTCTTATTCTCCTGTTTGATTGCTGTCTTCCCATGCATTGTCAGGATGATTTCTACAAGCAGGAGTTCCTTGGAACTTCACGGTGTAATTTATTAGAGGTTCTTGCCTCTTGGGAATGCCTTGAATTCACACATTTTCTAGATCGCTATAATTCCAACCAATAAGATAATTCTACTGGAGACTTCTCCAAGCGGATACAAATTCCATTTAATGCGAAGAGGCAATGAATACAATTTATAAATCTGCCTGGCTCCCAGACACCGAGCTCTCCTCATCCTGGAGCTGCTGTGTTGGCTGAATTACTCAGCTGAAAAAATGATTCTCATCTAGAATTCACTTCATGACTGTGTTTGTGTCAGATCTAGGGATCTGTAGCTCAAACTTCTCTGTGCAAGAAGCCTGTTGCATTTATGTACCAATTTTAAAAAAAAGCCATTCTCAAGAAGATATATGTGTGTGTACGCATATGTATATTTATGCACAACCCAGCAACTAATGCTTAGTTATCTTCTGCGTGATTACGGCAGGTACACTGCACATCCCTACTCCTCCCACCAACTTTCACCCTTTACCTTTTCAATAATAACAGGACAGTAAACTCATTTTTAAAAAATCAAATGTTTAATGATGAAAAGCTGTATTCATTATAACACTGTAGATACAGAAACATCAAGCAGGTGTCAAAAATCCCACTGGACTTTACATGCAGGCTTTAACCAACTTCGCTCTTTGCTTTAGGACAGGAAAATTCATTAATTAAAACTTGAAAACACAATAAAACAATCACAAAACAAACTCTCTTTGTTTCTGGTGTTATCAGCGAAGCATCAGAATGAAAGTTCAGAAAAAAGCTTTGGCTCCCCCACCTTATTAAAAACATGGTAACACACAACCCGCCTCTGGGGACACTGCGCCATGACTCCTTGGAGCAGAGAACACAGCAGGAGCACATACATTTCTAATCCCTATTTGAGAATTGAAGGAAATAGCCTGGTCAGTTGACTTGCCCAAGGTCACCCAGGCAGTCAGAGGTAAGAGTCTGGCCTAGTTCTGCTGTTTCTAGGAATCATATCCGTGTGGTGATCTGCTCTGTTATTTGAGAGTCAAGGTTTAACAGAACCGGTGGGACAGCTTGGGCAGGTACGTTCCAGTCTGGCCTGTCGGCTAAGACACCAGCAGGCCTTCAGGTCTGGGGTTCAGGGCTGCATTTAAAGTTACAGTGCTCAACACCGGTCTCCCTAAGAATCCTCTGGTCGGGCCCTATTTTGAACCGGAAGTTGAACTCTTTGAAGAGTTGGATGTTGGATATTTAATTTTCTTCCTTGCCGACTCCTCCAAGCCTCTCAGCTGACATTCTTGGATTCACATGATTCCACAATTGAAGTGTTGATTCAAAACTGCCTGCAGGGTTTCCCAGTTGTTGGAGGTGGGTTTCGTTCGGGAAGGAATGGCACATGGGTTGCACCTCAGGAAGACATGCTAACAATCTCTGATGAGGATTCTGAGTCTAGATTCAGCTGGAAAGCAGCGCTGTGACTGATTAGTGATGTCTGGCACAAGCTGGAGGTGGGTAGGGGAACAGTTGGGATTAGTGTCACTTACTCTAGGTCTAGGTCAAGAGCACCTGCAGCAATGGGCCAATTTCAGCCTGTGCCCTTCCCTACACAAATTCTTCCCTGTTATTATAACCAGCACTGCACTGATGCACATTTAGGACTGGATGCCTTATAGGGAGCCCCCACCCAGCCTTATGGGTAATCGCTGGAGACAGGCACTATCAGGCAGAACGTAACACCTGCATATCTTCCTTCACTCCCCAGGCTTCCAGACATATCGTAGGATCCCATCTCGGAAAATCAGAGCCCTCCCCGCAGTATCTAGTTGTCTATTTCCATTGTACGTTCCTGACAGAAGCTCTAAAGACAGGCCGTGGGCTTCTTTCAGTGGTTAGCAAACAGAATCTTCTCAGGAGTTTTGATCCCAACACAAAGATGGCTGTAACCTTCCTTGCTATGGTTTGAAGGGTTAGGAGTGGCCTTCCAGAACCGCTGGGAGGTCAGGGGCATGATAGGCCAAGGGCCTCCGGGACATCCCTCCCGTTCTTTCACTGCCCCAAGCGGAGTCCGGCTGGTTTCCATTTCCATGCTGCATGGCTATGAAATCAGAGGACAAGCCTGGGCACTTGCTGGCTGAAGACACCACTCTACCCATGATCAAGAATAATTCAGCAAGAGATGCTTCCATGATCCTGCCACACTCTAGCCATGGGATTCTGGACAGTCAGTGTAATGTAACACTAGAATTTGGCTGAAGACTAGAGAAAAGCCTTTTGCCTCCCTTTCCTCACATCTGGGAAAGACAACTCTTCCTTGGGCTTCCCCTGTGAAGGCCAAGCACTTGCTTTGGCCCACATCTCATATGGGAGGCAGCTCCCATCCTCCTGCAAAGGATGGTACCAGTGCCACCAGCAGTGGTGGCCCCTCACAGCGAACTCCTCAGGCACAAAAGCAGGGGCATGAGGTTAACAGATTGCATGTCTGTATTCAAAATGGCCTGTGGGAAACGTCAGAAGCCTCATCCAATCCCTGTCCTTCAACCCTTCCAGATTGTTTCCAAGCCTTCTGAGGGGCCAGACTTGGATCATGTTCGGTACCAAAAGCTGAGGACGAAGCAGAATGGAACTTGCTGTTTTCTTTCGCCAGAACAGACCCATTTTCAAGTCAACATCCCGCACTATTTACACTCTTCCTTCCAGCGCTAGTTCAGGTGCAGACCTTGGACAAAACAATCGGGGATAGATCCTGATGTGTTTTAAGCGGTTTCTTAATTCTTTGGAATAGATTGTTATGCCTCAGCAGCAGGCAGGAGTCTCCCTAGCATGGGGCAGTAAGTGAGCTTCGCTTGTGTGGCTTTTAGGTTTAATAACACACTTTGCTTACATCTCTAAGACAGGGCTGACCTAACTGCAGTTGGCCAGAAGCACGGGTTGTCTTTTGAGGATTTTCCGTCCTCAATTAGCGTTTGTAGCATCATCTCCATTTTCTTTCTTTAATTCCATTTCCTTCCTTTAGGTCACTGCAACCTATCTCAAAGGTTACACTTAGGAAACAGTTCATTTTTTTCCAAATGTTGGTGATTCTTTTGCTCAGTTATGTCTTCTTTTGCATCTTTGAGACATGTACTTAGAGCTACACTTCAGCTTCTCATAAACAAGTTCTAAAACACAAAGTATAAGCTTCCTACTCACATTGGAAATATTCCACAGGTTAAAAACTATTCTAAAGGCTAAAACCTACACACACACAAATAAAGATTTCCAATGTAAATTTTACTATTTTATTTGTGAAAAAACTACAAGCAGAATTCATAAATAGACATTTCTATTTAAAGCAGGAAAATGATAAAGTGGCTTCTAATAACATAGTCGTGCACATGCCAGTAACAGGAATATATTAACATCTTTTATTTGCTAGACAAAGAGCAGTGTCCAATATAAATTTCCCCCAAAACATTTAAGACCTGTGAATTTTTGACCAGTTCACAAAACCACCAACTGACACTTTAGCATGAAGAAAAAAACAAACCTAACAGACTGTCAGCTCTAAAGACATTACAGAGCAGAAACTTCCAAAAGCGTTATACAAGCTGTCTTTCTGGGCAAATGAAAAATATAGCTCGTATAATACATTAACAAAAATTCACAAGATTGTTTTGACATACTTAACAAGCATTCTCTATTTGTCTCCAACAAACAAAGCTAAGGAAATAATGTAACCATCTTTACACAGTAAATTAAGGTTACAAGTCATACACAAGAACAGAACTGCTTGCGCATTAAAAACTGTTCAGCTCCATTGTCATACTCTAAATGTTGGCTCTTAAACCATTTTCGGTTACATACAAGCAAAGGTTATTATATATTCAGCAATTAATAAATTTTCAATAATTTAAGATACGGCAGCTTAAAAAAGTAGACTGAGAATGGTCTTGATAAGGCAGGTGAAACATCTTAGTGGAACTAAACTCACAGAAGCTTCTGCCAATGTTTTTAAATATCCAGATTGAAACTGAAAGGTTTTGATTAGAATATTTTGTGGGTGTCAAGATGTCTTTAACTGCGTGACTCAAGCAGAGCAAGTCAGGTAAGCTCTGTGCGCGCACACACGCACGAGATTGCGTGGTATTAAAACAAATGGAAACTTGCAAGCGTAACACTGTGCTTTTTGTTTGTTTAACCTGCTTTTTTCTGTGCCACTGAATACCAAGTATTTCTGGTCCTCTTTTAATATATATCTTTATAATCTACACTAGTGTTTTTACACGCTGCCTACTAATTGTAGGGCAAACTGCAGATGCGTTAAGTTACAGGAATTCCATTTCCAGAATACATGCCTGAGGGATGTCATCCATTTCCAAAATTAAAAGTCTAATGTACCTACTACCTCACTACCCCAACAGAATACCCCACAGCAGCTAAAGGGCTGGCCCTGTAATATCTGATTGCTTAGATAACTCCCACTGTTAGCTGCAGTTTCTACAAAGATGGCAATTTCATGCCGCTTGTTCTAAAGCAATCTTCCCCTTCCTTCACCCCTCCCTATTCTTTATCACGGAGGCAAAACTGAGAAACCAAAACATTGGCACGAATGAATTAGCAGCCTATGAGTAGCTGGTTAATCAGCTTTTTCCACTAATCTATGGGGTCCAATCACTTTACATGAAACTAGTTTTTGAAAAAGTACACAGTGTGTCTGAAGAAAGTGCATACCAACACTTATTGGTTCAAAAAGCAGTGCAACCTACATGAGTTTGGTGGCATTTAAGTGTTTTTAAAAAGTTAATTTAAAAAACAGCAATTCCTTAAACCTCTGGAAAATAAATATGGCTGACTAATTTACCCTCCCTGAGACCCTTAATAAAAGGAATATTAAAACTTTAGAAGGAATGTCTTTGCAATATCCCACTAATATTAAAATGTGGATTTAAAATTCATAGTCAAATCACTATGTATTATATATTCTGATGCTTACAGAAAGCATCTGATTTCCTTTGGTTCATTAATAAATACTTTAAAAATGTATTTAAAAAGATAAGCATAGCTTGCATCCCAGACACAAGCATTATTTTAAAAAGGGGGGAACATTGTCCATGCACTTGAGAATAGGACCACAGCAACAAATGGCACTGCTTTATCATCTAGACCTTTGAGAAAACAATTTAAATTATGGTACATTAGTGGCTACAGAATAGTTTTAATGTAAATGTGAAAGGAACCTTTCCTGTTGGCTACTCAATTCAAGCTGTTAATTTTTTTATTTGTTGCCTCCACAGACAGAAATTACTTCTAATATTAAGCAAACCAGGTTTTTAACACCAAAATGTGGTGTTTCATTACAAATTGGGCTGCCCTCCTGTGAGTCCCTAAAGGAAGGTCAAATAAAGAGAGGTAACCTCAAATTCTCATGCTTGAAATGTCTCTGAAGTACTACAAACTCTGTATCTAAAATGTAAAAGTCAAATAGAAGAGACCCCCCACATCCAAACAAAAGCAAAACAAATTTTTTAAAAATTATTTTAATAAGGACGAGGAGGTGGAATCGTATTAGTGGTCGTTGATTATTATTATTATTTTTTTTTTTTGCAAGACAGTAAAAGGAGTGAAGAGAATGAAATAGAACAGTTTGTTCAAGTTATCATTATGTCCAGGAAGAGTAAAAGATTACATGCTGCTGGCAGCAAGTGCGAGCTTTCCCTGCAATTCTGGCTGCAGGCGCGCAAGGCCTTCACCACTGGAGTTCCTACCACAGCGGGGGAATTGAGAAATGTCTCCAAACACTGAAAAGCTCCATGTCAGGACTGGACGTGTGGTTGATAACCTTTGTTCAGTAAAACAAATCAGAGAAGGTTTTGAGAAGGAAAAACAAAGAATGCTCACGACTCAATCAGTAGAGTGAGGTTTGTGAGATGAGGGGAGAGATGAGGCAAACAAATCTTAACAACAAACACCACCACTGCAACGTCATGTGGAAAGCAGAAACAAGGGATTGCTTCCTGTATAGACCAAAAATACAGTTTATAGACTGTTTCAATCCTAAAACTAAGACAATTTCTAGATTTACCTCAGACATGAGTAGAGGTCTGGAAAATGGATGGAATTCGAGTTACAGAATACCATATTTTCATGAGTGCTTACGTAAGAACAGCAAATGATAACATGTAACCGTAATTTACACGAATACTTGGCATTCTGGAGCTAGTTTAGTTAGTTACTTTTGAATGATCAAAGCCCTCCCCAACTAACCACTTGTGATTTGTCAGTTATTCCATTGCAAATGCAGGCTATCTGGAGCAGTCTTTAAATTTGAGATCACATTGTTTAAAAAATATATATTTTTATATCGTCCAGTACTCTTTAGACAGATGGGAGAGTCAAGTTCCCACGTGGATTGGAACATACTTTATGTAAGACTGATTTTAATTAAATTTCAGCACTTTCATAGAAGGGACTGTCCCAGATCTGTAACTGTTCAATGTTGTATTCACTTCACAGTGTATCAAGCACCAGCGTTGCCATGGATTGGTTTCAAATAACCCTTTATATATAATTTTATATTTATATATATAGTTATATCAAAACTGATAGTACATAGTATAACTGGAAGAAAGAACTAAACTTAAAAGGATATGCTGAAAGGATGGAGTCTGTGAACACAATAAATAAAAGTTCCCTCCCCCTCCCAACCCTCCCTCCCAACAAAACAAAAACAAAAAACCAGTTGTAATGTACATGGAAAATTGTGCACAGCAGATTTTTTTTTTTTTTTTAAAAAAAGTAGATTCAGGAGCACATCCAATTATAAATGATTGTTAGGAAAATCATATAAAACAATGGAATACATAAAAGTGTCAAGAGTAATCGTCAGGGTGCGAAATTCCTTGGTGGCCAGATGCCCATGGCAAGCAGAAATTATCCTGGCAGCATCACTAAGAGGTCGATGTCCACAGAAGATTCTCCAGGGATGCAAGCAGCATGGGCAGGTGGAGGATTTGAATTTCATACCCTGATTCATAGTTTTCACAATTCCATGTGCAATTTCAGAAAGATTCATCATTGACTGCTGACATGTCGCCCTTTGGCGTGGAGGAACGGGAGGAGCCCTTGTCTGTGCTCTCTGACCCCGAGCTGCTCTGGTTCTGCTGTTCTGACCCTGCACTGGAGGTCACTGTGGATGAGGATGTCGATGAGGAGCGAGTCTTTTCCTTAAAGTCTGTGATAATGACGGTGACGTTGCCCACAGTTACTGCCAACTGCTGTGCAGTGCTCCTGTCCACATTTTTCAGCCGGGGCCTAGAAGCAACACCACAGGGGAAGAGCCAATTAAGTTAAGTTATGGATCAAAAACAGCTTCTGGCAGAATGTCATCAATATGCAAAAGACTTCATGACACTGTGGCGATGAATCTGAACTGCCTACTGCACATGCCAAAGCCGACTACAAAGTGTGCTGCTCAGCTTTGGCAATAATCAAACAAGCACAGGTAGCAAAGCCTGGGACCACTGTAAAATTACTATTAATTTATCTGTCACCTGTTCTGGCCACAGTATTTAAAAGGGGGGAAAGCCACCAACCCCACACCTAGCTCTTCACCTTCTTAGCCTACAGATCCAAGGCACAAAACGACCCTGGGTTCATGACTATGATTAAATCAATCAGAGCAGTGATTCAGTATGTCATTGTAGTTTCCGAGTACCTTGAGGTGTGATTCGTTTCGCTGGTCTTTGTTGTAGCATTTGCAGACTGTATGCTGTTTGCTTCACTAGGAGGATCTTTAAGAATGTCAGACTTTGGTCTACATGAGGAGATACAAAAAAAACCAAACAGGCAGTTAGAAGATATCTGGAATTCACCTGCAAAGTAATATCCTGTACTTAGTTAACCAGAAACTTACTTTGTTTTCTTGTTGGTATTTTTCTTGGTAACACTGGGACTGATTTCCTTGTCTTTCTCAGGTTTCTCTTTGTCCTGCTTTTCAACTTTCTCCTTCTTCTCCTTTTTAGGAGGTGGTGGGGTGGCGTACTGTTGTGCCACTTGTTGTGCCACCAGCTGAGAATTGATCCGAGGTTTTCTAAAATGTTCAAAAATATATAAATATCACTATTTGCTTTATAAATTTTTAAAAACATTTTTATCTGGTCTCAATTCCTTAGGTATTTTATTACTGGTATCTGCCAACTCAAAACGCAATTATATGGCACATTTTATGTCTACATTATTTTGTATGGATTATTTAGTAGGGATACTAAACTTTTCCTTTTTCAAAGGAAATGATACATTCCCATGTGAAAACACTAACATGCACATCCCTGTGCTGTAAAATAGTCTTTGAGACAATAAAACATGACAAGTGTTTCTAAGAGTGCTGAGAACACTACTTCTTTCAAGCCATCAAGATTATACTGACTGACAGCTTTCAAATACTCCTGCTACAGAGGGTTAATCTCATTTTATTAAATGGACACTGGTAATCCGTTGAAAAGAGAATGAAATTAGAAGTGTGACATTCACTCCTCAATCTAATTATTCCAACTTGTTCTGCTCCCCTGCAGCTCTGTGATTGGCACAGACAACACATATAGAGCAATAAACGTAACTGTGGTTCATATTAGCTCCCAAGGGAGTGAAGACTGAAAGTCACTGTAAAAAAAATCTTACACAAGTGACACATTCATTGTGCCATAAACCATTATGTCTGTGCCAATCTCCAACTGACACTGGCTCTTAGCACTATTGTTCACAAATTCTAAGTGGTGCCAAACACTTTCACAATGTATGATCATTCACAGCCCTAAAAGAGAAAGGGAGAAAGGAATGCCTATGCTTTATTTCTACATAATATTAATTCTCCGAGACATTCTCATCTAGATACACATTTACAATATAATAAACTCTCCAAGTTTAAGATAGAAAACAAATATACAAATGGTTCATTAACAAAGTAAAACAACTGGCTGCCAGAATGTAAGAGACCCCTCTTTAGATCCGACAGCTCCCTCTCCAATCCCCCAGGATGGAGAAACAGACGGGAGAAAAATAGCTGGACAGACCAAGTATGATTCATCAATGGGAGTGTCAGTGGTGGAGAATTAGAAAACAAAAATCGAAAAACAAAACCCAAAACAAAGCTGCTACATTCTTACCTAATGCTATTTTTTTTTTTTTTTTTTTTTTTTTGAGATGGAGTCTCACTGTGTTGCCCAGGCTGGAGTGCAGTGGCACGATCTCGGCTCACTACAACCTCCACACCTTCCAGGTTTGAGCAATTCTTCTGACTCAGTCTCCTAAGTAGCTTGGCTGGACTACAGGCGCCCGTCACCATGCCTGGCTAATTTTTCTGCTTTTAGTAAAGACGGGGTTTCACCATGCTGGCCAGGCTGATCTCGAACTCCCGATCCACCTGCCTAGGCCTCCCAAAGTGCTGATAATACAGGCGTGAGCCACCACACCCGGCAAATGCTGCTATTCTTTACCAGGAAACAAAATGGCTCCCTAAGCTAAGTGTGGTTACTGGAGCACCTCTTGGGCAGTGGATGTGATGTAGATGACAGGGGATGCAGGAGGGGTGGGGACAGACCCTTATACCATGACAGCATCACAGTTAACCTGAGCACTGAAGGAACTGGGTATATTCTGAGTGTTTCAGTACTGGTAGTGGCTTTGCAAGAAAACCTTGCAAAAAACATGTAAGCTCAGAGCAAGTCAGCCATTGGCCTCTAGTAATACAGTACAAGCTTTGTCATGGGCTGATACATCACAAAACTTTTTATTACCTGAGCCTGGATCACAAGTAACAAGGGATTCAAACACACGTTAAAGCATCCTGGAGAAGGGGCACGTACTTACTCTAAACTCCTCTCCCCTAAGAAACACACAGGACCTCCGAGGTGAAAGGTGACTGTCCCTTTTACACAGATTCTAACAGCAGCAGCAGCTATTCTAACACATTTTACTCCTTTTAAAGAGGAAGTATGACTGTGTTAATACTTCAAAAGATAAGGACCGCTACGAAACACTGCACATGCACTCACTGAGGACACAGGTCAGCTGTTTACAGGGATTACCAAACAGTTTCAATTAGAGCTAAAATAAGCCACCATACATTAACAAATATTCAGATGTTAAAAAAAAAAAAAAAAAAAAGCCAGAGTTAATATGAATAAACTATTCAAATTTTATGAGAACCTACATCCTAATGAAAAATTTCAATTCAGCCAATATGGTACTTTATGCCAAAGAAATTTGAAAGAACAAGAGAGGATATCTGAACACCAATTAAGAGTATCCTAAACACAGAGAGAATCAAAGGTAAACCAGGTGCTTGGCCCCAGAGAAATCTCAGCCTAATCACCATGTCCACCCAATCTGAGATGGAGGAGTCTGCCTTACTCCAAGACAACCTAGAAAGCTGTCACTTACCATGTTACACCATAACTGCCAATCAACTGTGTACTCAAAGACCACATCTTAGTCATCATTGTCAGTATGGCATTAAGCAGTTAGGTACTCAATAAAATTATCTACTAGGTGAATAAATGAACACTGCAGAGAAACACAAAGTAGGCTTCAAACTGAGAAGAGGGTCCAAGCTTTGGAAATGGAGGTCACTGGTGACTTTTAGGAAAGCAAGCTATACGCCATCAGGGTGGCAAGAATTAAGAGCCTGAAGGTTGTCAGAGGAAGAACACAGGAACTCTTCCTTACCTCAGAACTGTGGTGCTGAGGGAAGGGATTGCTCCGCTCATTACCCGGAGGGATTAGCAAACTGAGGAGGATTTCTAGAGGAAACAGGGTCTTGGATGATGCTGTACAATCAAAGAGAGAGAAAGACAGAGGGCAGGCAAGAGAGAGGGGTTAAAAATCACCGGTCAAGGAGAGAGAGAGAAAACAACTAATCAAAAGCCCTGGGGAAAGGAATGGGGACACTTTCTACTGAGACATGAAAGGGATACTAGATAAAGGGACATTTTTACTAGAAAGATGACAATCTGAGGAAGTTCTCTCAGTTGGCCTCTCCATTCCTGAGGAAATAGGCAATATGGCAGAGGTAGTGTAGGTAGGGGTTGTGAGCAGAACTTGGAAATGAGGCATCAAAAAACAGTTTAAATGAATCATGGAGATCGAAAGCAGTGCCTGGTTTGGTGAGTGGCAGGCACTAACAGTATAGGAGAACAGAGAGAAAAGGAAATTTACTTGCATCTCACAAATTACTCTTGATGGCATGAATATAGTATGCCTAAAAGAAGCAGGTCTCCAGTACCCAGAGATCATGCTTATCCAAAATGGCTTATTCACTAAAACACGGCCCGCCTGCCACAACTATTTATTGGCATAGTGTAGACAACAGGTAAGGGTATCCTCTGGATGCTTCTGCCACTGACATCATTCAACAGTTCAGCAAATGCATGATCAGAATTCTTCAGTGCATCCAACACAACACAGGATCTACAGGATAAAGTCTGTATGTACAAAAGGTAAAATTTCAGCCATAAGTCCTCCTAAAATACAACATATAAGTACAACTGGGTCAATGTGTCACTTGCTCCTAAGAAAATGTTTGATTAGTATGATGAAGTGTTTCTCCCTCTGTTGGTCAACAAACCAAAATTTTACAAATGAAAAGGATACAAGACTATTTGGGATCTATTACTAAGAAAAACGGGGCATCTGCTGAAACCACTTGTATTGTTTGAAAAGTACTTCTGTGTTCTGAATATCCTTAAATGTCCTTAAATGACAACCTACTCTTAAACCATCACTTGCCTCCCTTCTCCACCCAAACCCCTCTACAACAGGTGAGCATTTATCACCTTAATATAATTGCTTTTTCAAACTAGTTCTCCCAACAAATGCCACAGTACTCCCAGAGTTGGGGAGCAGGGGATAAGGTAGGGAAACTCACCTTTTGGAAGGCTAAGGAAAAGAAAAACCCAAGGGCCAGTAGGCTGAGCCCTCCCATATAAAGATTCTGCCCTGTCAGAACGGTTCTGGCAACTCTTGCAATCCGTTCCCTCTCAACTTCTAGGCTAATACTCTCTTCGCTGCACGGCAAGTGGAAAAATGAGAAAGTCCAATTACCACTGAGAGTTATGTACACTCCCACACTCCACTGCTGGGGTGCTGTGCCAGCCTCTCCAGGTTAGACATTACAAATGTACCTAAAGCAGGAGATAGGCAGAACCCTTTCACAGCTGGACAGGCACATCATGAAATCAGATTCAGCACAACATCCCCTCCCCTCAAGGAGGAACTGTCATCTCCATTTAACCCACTGGGAAGACTGAGGAGCAGAAGGAGTAAGAAATTCATCCAAAGTTCAGCTCCATCTGGACTCTTCATGGACTCCTCTTATCTGGAGGTATCCTTAAACTAGTCTCCCAGCCTTTGAAGAGTGCAGCCTGGCGTGTGTGTGTCAGGGGTGGCAATGTGGGATGAAAAGGGTGATGAGGGTACTAGGGATTAAAACGCTCAGGTCCCCAAGTTACAGTTTAGTTAGACACCTCCTTGAGAACACCACTGCTGCCTTTGTTAGCCTCACCATACCTTACTCTGGTAAGAAGGGGACGACTTGGTTTTCTTTAAGAAAAGATAAAGGGGCTGGGGAACAAGGTTTTCCTTGCTTTCCACTGCCTTTGGAACATTCTCTGTAAGGAATCAACTCATATTATGATATTTAACACTGCTGATCAGTAAGAAGGTGGCTTCCTACAAATTTACATTGCTTAATGAAGTCTTCTAAGTGTCATACAACACACTATAAATAGCACTCAATGGCAAAACTTTCAACATGTTGTGGCAGGTCACTTCTTCAATATGAGCTGACAGTCTGAGTCCCCGAGATTATTCAAGTTTCTCCAATTGACAAACCTTAAATAAGCAGTTAAATGCCTTCACAACGAAGTGGTAAATATTAGATCAGAACCCACGGCCTATAGCTTTTGGTGTCTAAGACTCAAAACCAATCAACCATCACCACCACCACCCCCACCAACAATCTCCAAAAAATGACCAGAGACACAAGATAGTAAACACAGAGCCCGGTTCCCCTCATAAATTTAGCAAACAAGCTTT